AGTAGCCAAGTTTCCAGGTTTATTTTGGATGTTTCTTTTTGTTGTATCTTTTTTTCTGTCCATCCACCATTGTAAATAAATTGCATTGTTCCATGTTTTCACCTCCACTATTGTTTGTGCATGTGCCTATGAATCCACCTTGTTTTGTTCCATCCTCCATTGTGATGTTTATCCAGGGGGTCACACACACCCGCTGCCGAGCTAACCCTGTTCCAGGTATGTTCTGGTATGCTGGGGTATAAATACTGGGGTAGTGATCCTCCACCTTCGTGGGGTATTCCGGTAATACTGGGGTATGTTTGGTATGGTGGGGTATGTTCAGACCTTCCATATGTTCATCCTTTCTGGGGTATAAAATACTGGGGTATGTTCCTGGTCCATCCTTCCACCTTGTTCCTGGTATGGTGGGGTATGTTCCATGGTGGGGTATAAATACTTCCATCCTTCCGGTAAGCCGTGCCCATACGCTCCAATGACCTTCCAACGTTTGTACAGAATTCATGGCCGGGTTCCATATGAAGGCATTGTCTGCCGATTGTCTGTCCTCCCTCACTCTCCTCCCTCCATCCTCCTCCTTCCTTCCTCCTTCCTCCACCCTTCCCTCCTCTGTCCTTCCATCCTTGTCCTTCCACCTTCCCTCCTTTGTCCCTTCCCTCCTCTGTCCTTCCACCTTCCCTCCTCCACCTTCCATCCTCTGTCCTTCCATCCTTCCCTCCTCCACCTTCCCTCCTCCACCTTCCCTCCTCCTCCTTCCATCCTCTGTCCTTCCATCCTCTGTCCTTCCATCCTCCATCCTTCCATCCTCCATCCTTCCATCCTCCACCTTCCATCCTCCACCTTCCATCCTCCACCTTCCATCCTCCATCCTTCCATCCTCCACCTTCCATCCTCCATGTCCTTCCATCCTCCACCTTCCCTCCTCCTTCCATCCTTCACCTTCCATCCTTCCCTTCCATCCTCCATCCTTCCATCCTCCATCCTTCCATCCTCTGTCCTTCCCTCCTCTGTCCTTCCCTCCTCTGTCCTTCCATCCTCTTCACCTTCCATCCTCCGTCCTTCCATCCTCCATCCTTCCCCTTCCACGTTCCTCATCACCATAGCCGACATGGAACACCACCCTGGTGTATGGGCCGCCTAGGGTCGTCATTGTGGGTGGGGCTGCTGATCCAAGTATCTGGTGACACGCTGACAGTTCATTGGCTGATCTTGTGAGCTTACAGTCTGAGGCCCTGCCCTACATGAGATCTGATTGGACGGAGAGTCCCACCATCCAGGTCACATGCCCGAGGAGAGCTCTGTAAACCGTTGATGGGAGTTTATGAATCATCATATTTGACTGAAGAGCTGACAATCTAATCAGTATATGAATATCATGATGTAACCCCTCCCCCACACCCAGCCTACAGAGGACCATCCATTACCAGGGAGGAGACCTGGACCTCCATCACCCCAACGCTGGTCTGCAGAGGATGGAACGTGAGGATTCTGGAAATGGATGGTGGTCACCACTGTGTTGTCATTGAGGATTGGAGTGCGCAAACACGCATGGACAAGGTCAGGTCATGTGAACATACAACACGGGTGACCGCCGACACCATGACATCCGGGGCCCAACACAAGTAACTCCATTACCCAAATGAAAGGACATTTCTATCACATTAGACCGACTCTGACATCACTAACCGGATCATCTCCGCATGGGAACTCTGAGGGACATGGTGTCATGGAGTGGGGACTGCACCCCTCCCCCATGTGACTGCACCCCTCCCCCATGTGCTCGAGGGTTGGGGGATGGGAAGCAGAGACCTCAACTCAAAAGAATAGCGCCGAAAATAATGAAATCAGAGAAAAAGGGAGACATGCCAGGAAGGACTGACACCACCACTCTTCACTCCTCAACTGCCACCATGACTGAGTCATCAACTGCCACCAATGACTGAGTCATCAACTGCCACATGACTGAGTCATCAACTGCCACCATGACTGAGTCATCAACTGCCACCATGACTGAGTCATCAACTGCCACCATGACTGAGTCATCAACTGCCACCATGACTTTCTCTTGACTGAGTCATCAACTGCCACCATGTCTTCACTCATCAACTGCCACCATGACTGAGTCATCAACTGCCACCATGACTTGAGTCATCAACTGCCACCACGTCTTCACTCCTCAACTGCCACCACGTCTTCACTCCTCAACTGCCCACCATGACTGAGTCATCACAACTGCCACCACGTCTTCTGAGTCATCAACTGCCACCATGACGTCTTCATGGACTGAGTCATCAACTGCCACCATGGACTCATCAACTGCCACAAGGTGTCTGAAGGTGACAGAAGCCCCCAGTGTGGTTCCAGGAGTCTGGAAGGTGACAGAAGCCCCCAGTGTGGTTCCAGGAGTCTGGAAGGTGACAGAAGCTCCCAATGTGGTTTCAGGAGTCTGAAAGGTGAGAAGCCCCCAGTGTGGTTCCAGTTGTCTGGAAGGTGACAGGAGCCCCCAGTGTGGTTCCAGGAGTCTGGAAGGTGACAGAAGCCCCCAGTGTGGTTCCAGTTGTCTGGAAGGTGACAGGAGCCTCCAGTGCGGTTCCAGGAGTCTGGAAGGTGATAGAAGCCCCCAGTGTGGTTCCAGGAGTCTGGAAGGTGATAGAAGCCCCAATGTGGTTCCAGGAGTCTGGAAGGGGACAGAAGCCCCAGTGTGGTTCCAGGAGTCTGGAAGGTGACAGAAGCCCCCAGTGCAGGTTCCAGGAGTCTGGAAGGTGACGGAAGCCCCCAGTGCGGTTCCAGGAGTCTGGAAGGTGATGGAAGCCCCCAGTGCAGTTCCAGGAGTCTGGAAGGTGACAGAAGCCCCCAGTGTGGTTCCAGGAGTCTGAAAGGTGACGGAAGCCCCCAGTGTGGTTCCAGGAGTCTGGAAGGTGAAGAAGCAGCAGCCACCCCCAGTGTGGTTCCAGGAGTCTGTAAGGTGACAGAAGCCCCCAGTGTGGTTCCAGGTGTTTGGAAGGTGACAGAAGGCCCCAGTGTGGTTCCAGGTGTTTGGAAGGTGACAGAAGCCACCAGTGTGGTTCCAGGTGTTTGGAAGGGGACAGAAGCCACCAGTGTGGTTCCAGGTGCTTGGAAGGTGACAGGCAGCCACCAGTGTGGTTCCAGGTGCTTGGAAGGTGACAGAAGCCCCCAGTGTGTTCCAGGAGTCTGGAAGGTGACAGAAGCCCCCAGTGTGGTTCCCAGGTGTCTGGAAGGTGACAGAGGCCCCCAGTGTGGTTCCAGGTGTTTGGAAGGTGACAGAAGCCCCCAGTGTGGTTCCAGGTGTCTGGAAGGTGACAGAGGCCCCCAGTGTGGTTCCAGGTGCTTGGAAGGTGACAGAAGCCCCCAGTGTGGTTCCAGGTGTTTGGAAGGTGAAAGAAGCCCCCAGTGTGGTTCCAGGTGTCTGGAAGGTGACAGAAGCCCCCAGTGTGGTTCCAGGTGTCTGGAAGGTGACAGAAGCCCCCAGTGTGGTTCCAGGTGTCTGGAAGGTGACAGAAGCCCCCAGTGTGGTTCCAGGTGTTTGGAAGGTGACAGAAGCCACCAGTGTGGTTCCAGGTGCTTGGAAGGTGACAGAAGCCCCCAGTGTGGTTCTAGGTGTCTGGAAGGTGACAGAAGCCCCCAGTGTGGTTCCAGGTGTCTGGAAGGTGACAGAAGCCCCTAGTGTGGTTCCAGGTGTCTGGAAGGTGACAGAAGCCCCAGTGTGGTTCCAGGTGTCTGGAAGGTGACAGAAGCCCCCAGTGTGGTTCCAGGTGTCTGGAAGGTGACAGAAGCCCCCAGTGTGTCTGGATTCCAGGTGTTTGGAAGGTGACAGAAGCCCCCAGTGTGCCCCCACTGTCTTTTCTATGCTTGCTTCAGATTGCAGTAAGGTTCCTCCAGTGGGGGGTTCTCTGCTGCTGTTGAAGCTGTTGGTCATTTTCAGGCCAAAGTGGCGACTCTTCACCTGGAGCCCTTTTTGCACTCTGTTGCGTCCAGCAGGGGGAGGGGAATCTTCTGCTCCTGAACTGCCGGAATTGTGAAGATAAGTGACAGTTGCAGATACATTTTTACGTTTCCTGCGTTTTGTGACGTTGCTCATTTATGTGGCTTTCTCAGACTTTCGACTCCTTGGACTTGCAGAGCCAATCACCAGAAAGTAAAGTGTGAACACTAGAAGATGCGGTCGTTCTGCGGGTGTTGTGGCCCCGGCTAGGAAGTGGCCCCGCTGTGCAGGAGATGTATACACGTCGGTGGTGCGGGAGGATCTCAGATTTCTGCACCTATTCTGGTTATTGTAAGAATCGGTCCCGTGTCTCCAGCTCAGGCCCACTCGGGGCCACTCCAGTATTACAGTCACTATGGGGCCACACAAAGAGCATCGTTCACCAACTTTAACCCCGTAAGGGAAACCCTCAGACTGACCAATGAGCCGGAGAGCACGGCCTGTTGTCTCTGTGTGCCTGGCCGCCTCCGCACTGTGCTGAGAGAACCTTTTCATCTACCGTGACCCTATCAGTGTGCGGGGAACCCAGAAGTATACATACACTATAATGCCCCAAGGTTTGCCCCCCTCCCCAATCATGTGATCCTGGTGTCCCAATCCCCTCCATATCATGTGATTCAGGTGTTCCAATCCCCTCCATATCCCAATCCCCTTCCATGTGATTCAGGGTGACAGAAGCCCCCAGTGTGACCAGAAGCCCCCAGGGTGCCCCCCACTCCAATCCCCTCCAATCATGTGATGATCCTGGTTTCCAATCCCCTCCCAATCATGTGTTCTGGTGTCCCAGGTTATGTGATTCTGGTGTCCCAATCCCCTCCCCAATCATGTGATTCTGGTGTCCCAATCCCCTCCATCATGTGATTCAGGTGTTCCAATCCCCTTCCAATCATGTGATTCAGGTGTTCCAATCCCCTCCAATCATGTGATCCTGGTGTCCCAATCCCCTCCCAATCATGTGATTCTGGTGTCCCAATCCCCTCCCAATCATGTGATTCTGGTGTCCCAATCCCCTCCCAATCATGTGATTCTGGTGTCCCAATCCCCTCCATATCATGTGATTCTGGTGTCCCAATCCCCTCCATATCATGTGATTCAGGTGTCCCAATCCCCTCCAAATCATGTGATTCTGGTGTCCCAATCCCCTCCAAATCATGTGATAACCCTCTGGTGTCCCAATCATCTCCCATATCATGTGATTCAGGTGTCCCAATCCCCTCCATATCATGTGATTCAGGTGCTCCAATCCCCTCCCAATCATGTGATTCAGGTGTTCCAATCCCCCCTCCAATCATGTGATCCTGGTGTCCCAATCCCCTCCAATCATGTGATTCTGGTGTCCCAATCACCTCCCAATCATGTGATTCTGATGTCCCAATCCCCTCCATATCATGTGATTCTGGTGTCCCAATCCCCTCCATATCATGTGTTCAGGTGTCCCAATCCCCTCAATCATGTGATTCTGGTGTCCCAATCCCCAAAATGATGTGATTCTGGTGTTCCAATCCCCTCCATATCATGTGATTCTGGTGTCCCAATCCCCTCCATATCATGTGATTCAGGTGTTCCAATCCCCTCCAATCGTGATTCAGGTGTTCCAATCCCCTCCCGATCATGTGATTCAGGTTTTCCAATCCCCTCCCGATCATGTGATTCAGGTGTTCCAATCCCCTCCATATCATGTGATTCAGGTGTTCCAATCCCCTCCATATCATGTGATTCAGGTGTTCCAATCCCCTCCATATCATGTGATTCAGGTGTTCCAATCCCCCCAATCATGTGATCCTGGTCCCAATCCCCTCCCAATCATGTGATCCTGGTGTCCCAATCCCCCTCCCAATCATGATCAGTGATTCTGGTCCCAATCCCCTCCCAATCATGTGATTCTGGTGTCCCAATCCCCTCCAATCATGTGATTCTGGTGTCCCAATCCCCTCCAAATCATGTGATTCTGGTGTCCCAATCCCCTCCAAATCATGTGATTCTGGTGTCCCAATCCCCTCCATATCATGTGATTCTGGTGTCCCAATCCCCTCCATATCATGTGATTCAGGTGTTCCAATCCCCTCCAATCGTGATTCAGGTGTTCCAATCCCCTCCCGATCATGTGATTCAGGTGTTCCAATCCCCTCCATATCATGTGATTCAGGTGTTCAAATCCCCTCCCATTCATGTGATTCAGGTGTTCCAATCCCCTCCCAATCATGTGATTCAGGGGTTCCAATCCCCTCCCGATCATGTGATTCAGGTGCTCCCATCCCTTCCATATCACGTGATTCAGGTGTTCCAATCCCCTCCCAATCATGTGATTCAGGTGTTCCAATCCCTTCCATATCATGTGATTCAGGTGCTCCAATCCCCTCCATATCATGTGATTCAGGTGTTCCAATCCCCTCCATGGACACAGGTTTATACAATCAAGCCCCTAGGCATGCAGACTGCTTCTACAAACATTGGTGAAAGAATGGGTCGCTCTCAGGAGCTCAGTGACTCCAAGCGTGGTCCCGTGACCATTTCCTGGCCACTAAATATTCCACGCTCAACTGTTAGTGGGATTATAACAAAGTGGAAGACACTGGGAACAACAGCCACTCAGCCACCAAGTGGTAGGCCACGTCACATGACAGGGCGGGGTCAGCGCATGCTGAAGCGCACAGTGCGCAGAAGTCGCCAACTGTCTGCAGAGTCATTAGCTAAAGACCTCCAAACTTGGTGTGGCCTTCAGATGAGCCCAACAACAGTGCGTAGAGAGCTTCATGGAATGGGTTTCCATGGCCGAGCAGCTGCATCCAAGCCTTCCATCACCAAGTGCAATGCAAAGCGTCGGGTGCCGTGGTGTAAAGCACGCCGCCACTGGACTCTAGAGCACAAGGGACGTGTACTCTGGAGTGATGAATAGTGGATCTCTCTGCACGCGGTGTGGCCCGCAGAACACAAAATAAATTCTATAATGCAGCAGACAGAAGATATAGAAGGAGGTATATATGGTATATGGGGTATATATATGTAGGGGTTAAAATTTCGAATCCAGACCTACTAGCCAGGCAGAAACCTTACTCGTGTCCCCCAAGGTGGTGGAGAGGGGCCTCGAGTCCCCCAAGGTTCTGGAGAGCGGGCCTCGTGTCCCCAAAGGTGGTGGAGAGCGGGCCTCAAGTTCCCCAAGGTTGTGGAGAGCGGGCCTCGTGTCCCCCAAGGTGGTGGAGAGCGGGCCTCGTGTCCTCCAAGGTGGTGGAGAGCGGGCCTCGAGTCCCCCAAGGTTCTGGAGAGCGGGCCCCGTGTCCCCCAAAGTGGTGGAGAGCGGGCCTCAAGTTCCCCAAGGTTCTGGAGAGCGGGCCTCGTGTCCTCCAAGGTGGTGGAGAGCGGGCCTCGTGTCCCCCAAGGTTCTGGAGAGCGGGCCTCGTGTCCCCCAAGGTGGTGGAGAGCGGGCCTCGTGTCCCTCAAGGTGGTGGAGAGCGGGCCTCGTGTCCCCCCCCCCGGTGGCGGAGAGCGGGCCTCGTGTCTCCCAAGGTGGTGGAGGTTCGTGTCCCCCAAGGAGAGCGGGCCCCGTGTCCCCCAAGGTGGTGGAGAGCGGGCCTCGTGTCCCCCAAGGTCTGGAGGGGCCTTGTGCCCCCCAAGTGGTGAGAGCGCCTCGTGTCTCCCAAGGTTCTGGAGAGCGGGCCTCGTGTCCCCCAAGGTTCTGGAGAGCGGGCCCCGTGTCCCCCAAGGTGGTGGAGAGCGGGCCTCGTGTCCCCCAAGGTCGTGGAGAGCGGGCCTTGTGTCCCCCAAGGTGGTGAGCGGGCCTCGAGTTTTCCAAGGTTCTGGAGAGCGGGCCCTTGTGTCCCCCAAGGTTCTGGAGAGCGAGCCTCGTGTCCCCCAAGGTGGTGGAGAGCAGGCCTCGTGTCCCCCAAGGTTCTGGAGAGCGGGCCCTCGTGTCCCCCAAGGTGGCGGAGAGCGGGCCTCGTGTCTCCTAAGGTGGTGGAGAGCGGGCCTCGTGTCCCCCAAGGTGGTGGAGAGCGGGCCTCGTGTCCCCCAAGGTTCTGGAGAGCGGGCCTCGTGTCCCCCAAGGTGGTGGAGAGCGGGCCTCGTGTCTCCCAAGGTTCTGGAGTGCGGGCCTCGTGTCCCCCAAGGTTCTGGAGAGCGGGCCCCCGTGTCCCCCATGGTGGTGGAGAGCGGGCCTCGTGTCCCCCAAGGTGGTGGAGAGCGGGCCCTCGAGTTCCCCAAGGTTCTGGAGAGCGGGCCTCGTGTCCCCCAAGGTGGTGGAGAGCGGGCCTCGTGTCCCCCAAGGTGGTGGAGAGAGCGGGCCTCATGTCCCCCAAGGTTCTGGAGAGCGGGCCTCGTGTCCCCCAAGGTTCTGGAGAGCAGGCCTCGTGTCCCCCAAGGTTCTGGAGAGCGGGCCTCGTGCCCCCCAAGGTGGTGGAGAGCGGGCCTCGAGTTCCCCAAGGTGGTGGAGAGCGGGCCTCGAGTTCCCCAAGGTGGTGGAGAGCGGGCCTCGTGTCCCCCAAGGTGGTGGAGAGCGGGCCTCGTGTCCCCCAAGGTGGTGGAGAGCGGGCCTCGTGTCCCCCAAGGTGGTGAGAGCGGGCCTCGTGTCCCCCAAGGTTCTGGAGAGCGGGCCTCGTGCCCCCCAAGGTGGTGGAGAGCGGGCCTCGTGTCCCCCAAGGTTCTGGAGAGCGGGCCTCGTGTCCCCCAAGGTGCTGGAGAGTGGGCCTCGAGTTCCCCAAGGTTCTGGAGAGCGGGCCTCGTGTCCCCCAAGGTGGTGGAGAGCGGGCCTCGTGTCCCCCAAGGTGGTGGAGAGCGGGCCTCGTGTCCCCCAAGGTTCTGGAGAGCGGGCCTCGTGTCCCCCAAGGTGGTGGAGAGTGGGCCTCGTGTCCCCCAAGGTTCTGGAGAGCGGGCCTCGTGTCCCCCAAGGTGGTGGAGAGCGGGCCTCGTGTCCCCCAAGGTGGTGGAAAGCGGGCCTCGTGTCCCCCAAGGTGGTTGGAGAGCGGGCCTCGTGTCCCCCAAGGTGGTGGAGAGCGGGCCTCGTGTCCCCCAAGGTGGTGGAGAGCGGGCCTCGTGTCCCCCAAGGTTCTGGAGAGCGGGCCTCGTGTCCCCCATGGTGGTGGAGAGCGGGCCTCGTGTGTTCCCCAAGGTGGTGGAGAGCGGGCCTCGTGTCCCCCCAAGGTGGTGGAGAGTGGGCCTCGTGTCTTCCAAGGTTCTGGAGAGCGGGCCTCGTGTCCCCCAAGGTTCTGGAGAGCGGGCCTCGTGTCCCCCAAGGTGGTGGAGAGTGGGCCTCGTGTCTCCCAAGGTTCTGGAGAGCGGGCCCTCGTGTCCCCCAAGGTGGTGGGAGAGTGGGCCTCGTGTCCCCCAAGGTTCTGGAGAGCGGGCCTCGTGTCCCCCAAGGTGGTGGAAGGTTCTGGTTCTGGAGAGCGGGCCTCGTGTCCCCCAAGGTGGTGGAGAGTGGGCCTCGTGTCTCCCCAGGGTTCTGGAGAGCGGGCCTCGTGTCCCCAAGGTTCTGGAGAGAGCGGGCCTCGTGTCCCCAAGGTGGTGGAGAGCGGGCCTCGTGTCCCCCAAGGTGGTGGAGAGCGGGCCTCGTGTCCCCCAAGGTTCTGGAGAGCGGGCCTCGTGTCCCCCAAGGTGGTGGAGAGAGCGGGGCCTCGTGTCCCCCAAGGTTCTGGAGAGCGGGGTCCCTCGTGTTCCCCAAGGTTCTGGAGAGCGGGCCTCGTGTCCCCCAAGGTGGTGGAGAGCGGGCCTCGTGTCCCCCAAGGTGGTGGAGAGCGGGCCTCGTGTCCCCCAAGGTGGTGGTGGAGAGCGGGCCTCGTGTCCCCCAAGGTGGTGGAGAGCGGGCCTCGTGTCCCCCAAGGTTCTGGAGAGGCGGGCCTCGTGTCCCCCAAGGTTCTGGAGAGCGGGCCTCGTGTCCCCCAAGGTTCTGGAGAGCGGGCCTCGTGTCCCCCAAGGTGGTGGAGAGCGGGCCTCGTGTCCCCCAAGGTGGTGGAGAGCGGGCCTCGTGTCCCCCAAGGTGGTGGAGAGCGGGCCTCTCGTGTCCCCCAAGGTGGTGGAGAGCGGGCCTCGTGTCCCCCAAGGTGGTGGAGAGCGGGCCTCGTGTCCCCCAAGGTTCTGGAGAGCGGGCCTCGTGTCCCCCAAGGTGGTGGAGAGTCGGCCTCCAAGTGTGGAGAGCGGGCCTCGTGTCCCCCAAGGTTCTGGAGAGCGGGCCTCGTGTCCCCCAAGGTGGTGGGAGAGTGGGCCTCGTGTCCCCCAAGGTTCTGGAGAGCGGGCCTCGTGTCCCCCAAGGTTCTGGAGAGGGGCCCCGTGTCCCCTATGGTGGAGGAGAGCGGGCCTCGTGTCCCCCAGGTGGTGGAGAGCGGGCCTCGTGTCCCCCAAGGTGGTGGAGAGCGGGCCTCGTGTTCCCCCAAGGTTCTGGAGAGCGGGCCTCGTGTCCCCCAAGGTGGTGGAGAGTGGGCCTCGTGTCTTCCAAGGTTCTGGAGAGCGGGCCTCGTGTCCCCCAAGGTTCTGGAGAGCGGGCCTCGTGTCCCCCAAGGTGGTGGAGAGTGGGCCTCGTGTCTCCCAAGGTGGTTGGAGAGCGGGCCCCCCCAAGGTTCTGGAGAGCGGGCCTCGTGTCCCCCAAGGTGGTGGAGAGCGGGCCTCGTGGAGAGCCCTCGTGTCCCCCAAGGTTCTGGAGAGCGGGCCTCGTGTCCCCCAAGGTTCTGGAGAGCGGGCCTCGTGTCCCCCAAGGTGGTGGAGAGTGGGCCTCGTGTCTCCCAAGGTTCTGGAGAGAGAGGGGGCCTCGTGTCCCCAAGGTTCTGGAGAGCGGGCCTCGTGTCCCCCAGGTGGTGGAGAGCGGGCCTCGTGTCCCCCAAGGTGGTGGAGAGCGGGCCTCGTGTCCCCCAAGGTTCTGGAGAGCGGGCCTCGTGTCCCCCAAGGTGGTGGAGAGCGGGCCTCGTGTCTTCCAAGGTTCTGGAGAGCGGGCCTCGTGTTCCCCCAAGGTTCTGGAGAGCGGGCCTCGTGTCCCCCAAGGTGGTGGAGAGTGGGCCTCGTGTCTCCCAAGGTTCTGGAGAGCGGGCCTCGTGTCCCCCAAGGTTCTGGAGAGCGGGCCCCGTGTCCCCCAAGTGGTGGAGAGCGGGCCTCGTGTCCCCCAAGGTGGTGGAGAGCGGGCCTCGTGTCCCCCAAGGTGGTCTGGAGAGCGGGCCTCGTGTCCCCCAAGGTGGTGGGCCTCGGGGAGAGCGGGCCCTCGTGTCCCCCAAGGTGGTGGAGAGAGGCCTCGGGCCTCGGTGTGGAGAGCCCTCCCCAAGGTTCTGGAGAGCGGGCCTCGTGTCCCCCAAGGTGGTGGAGAGTGGGCCTCGTGTCCCCAAGGTTCTGGAGAGCGGGCCTCGTGTCCCCCAAGGTGGTGGAGAGCGGGGCTCGTGTCCCCCAAGGTTCTGGAGAGCGGGCCTCGTGTCCCCCAAGGTTCTGGAGAGCGGGCCCCGTGTCCCCCATGGTGGTGGAGAGCGGGCCTCGTGTCCCCCAAGGTGGTGGAGAGCCCTGTGTCCCCCAAGGTGGTGGAGAGAGGGGGCCTCGTGTCCCCCAAGGTGGTGGAGAGCGGGCCTCGTGTCCCCCCCAAGGTGGCCTCGTGGAGGAGCGGGCCTCGTGTGTCTGTCCCAAGGTTCTGGAGAGCGGGCCTCGTGTCCCCCAAGGTTCTGGAGAGCGGGCCCTCGTGTCCCCCATGGTGGTGGAGAGTGGGCCTCGTGTCTCCCCAAGGTTCTGAGCGGGCCTCGTCGTGTCCCCCAAGGTTCTGGAGAGCGGGCCTCGTGGTAATGGTGGAGAGTGGGCCTATCCCCCAAGGTGGTGGGAGCGGGCCTCGTGTCC